GCAATGCTGGTGATGGCATGCTAGCTTCCTGCTAACATTGGTGATGGTATGCTAGCTTCCTGCTAACGTTGGTGCTGATATGCTAGCTTAATGATGACATTAGGACAGAGTGTGAAGTTTGCTCTGTGTCTCTTCCAGAAAGCTTTGGGTTTCGTCTTCCGGTTTGACTTAGAGGATAAACTCTGGTCCGCCTGAGGTTCCATTTCTTTAAACCGCTAATGCTAACGATTGCTTCCATCTCCATCTGCTTTCTTGAATCAAATGTTCTTTTGTCTTTCCCATTTTGAAAAATGGCACAGGAAAATTGGTCTCATATTTTGTCCCAATAAAACAGAGTAATGGATGAGGCTTTTATAGAAAGTGATCGGTTCAAGAGTCTAAGTTATACAATGTTCCAGTTTTACTTTTTGTGCATAAAGTAATCTGATCATAATCTGAATTTTACATTGAGGAATAAACTGAAATCTAAGGTTTGGTCTTAGAGAAGATTCAGAGAAGTGTGTGTTTTAGCGTAAACACACACACACTTCTCTGTGTGTTTACGCTGTGTGTTTTCATCATTGGCTCAATGATGAAATCATTGAGCCAATCAGCTCAATGATTTCATCCACTACACACGACGTCACTTTAACGGACCGAAGGAGGGACCGTCTGTAGTTCCACCGGGTCACCCAACCGGGCGGGTCGCTTCATAATTCCGATCAGATTTCTTGACGCCGCCCATGAATTTTGTCACCCTGTAATGAGGGGGACAAAAGGGTTTACTGTGACAGCCAATCAGCGCCTCTCTGTTCCAGCTTCTTGCGCTCCGGACCAATCAGCAGCGAGCAGTTCTTTGTTGTTGCTGCTTCGGGCCACGGCAGGACGCGGACGGCCAGCGAGCTGCGGGGCGTCGCTGCGGTTTGTCCCGGTTCACCGACGGGTTTCTCGCCAGTTTGTCTTTCTGACAGGCGGGAGCCGCCATGTCGATGAACATGGAGGAGCTGAGGCACCAGGTGATGATCAACCAGTTCGTGTTGGCGGCCGGATGCGCCGCCGATCAGGCCAAGCAGCTCCTCCAGGCGGCCCACTGGCAGTTCGAGGTGAGTCCAGCTAGCGGGGGTTTTAAGCCCACTTCCTGTCGCGCGACCAGCGGGAGTGGGTTCGGGTTTCGGAGCGGACCGACAAGAATGACTAACACATGATCGGTTCTGCAGTTCGGGTTCGGACCACGCTGCTGCTCATGCTAACATTAGCCACTGAAAGGACGCGGTGTTCCAACCAATGGCTGCCTTTGTTTACATTCTGCAAGTGAGTCATTCCAGGCTGGATGATCCGGGATTTATGGCAGGAACAGTTTTCCGACATCCGGAACCGCCTGAGAACCAGATTAGCCCGGAAAGATTCACCGATTTACCTCCAGTCAAAACGAAAGTTGGATCCGGGCGGGGAGGAACCGTTTCAGTTGTTAGACTGAGCCGTTCACTGACTGTTCGGATCTGATACGAATCAGAGGGAAGAACAGTTCAGTTGTTGGTTGAACATGTGACTCACCTGAAGGACCTTTGACCTCCAGATGGACACTTCCAGCTGAACCAGAAAGTTCTGAGCCTTCAGGTTCATCTGCTGGTCCTGAGGTCAGAGGTCAGAGGTGTGAAGGGGAATGTTGTGCTGGTTCCGACCCGGTTCTGGGTCCATGTTGATGTTGCTGTGTTGCTGTGTCTGCAGACGGCGCTGAGCTCCTTCTTCCAGGAGGCCAATGTTCCGGGTCAGCACCAGATGGTAAGAAGCTGCTTCATCCCCTCCAGAACCAGAACCCAACCATTCGGATCGGACCAAAACCGGTCAGAGTTGCTGGTTCTTTTTGGAAACCTGGAACAAAACCATGCATGGTACCAAACAAGCAGAACCTTCAACTGGACCGGTTCGGTTCTACAGAACCGACTTCAGATGTCGTCATCATTTAAAACAAGTCTGACTTACTGGTCGGCAGCAGCAGGTGGGGGAGGGGCCATAGGGGAGGGGCAGCA